ATTTCCCTTCCTTTCTGAAGAACATTACTGGGAAAGGATTGGCCACCAAACTTGATTTGGGGCTTTGGAGGAGTTGTGGGGGAGTTGAAGAGGGCCGTGGCCTCCAAACCCAGGAGTGAGGCGAAACAGGGAATATATGGTGGAAAACTCATTCTGTTGTGCTTGGGATGCCTGCCTTGGGGGGACCCAAATGGAGAGCAGTATGTGGGAAATGAACAGCTGCTGGTTGGATGTACAAGGTCACCCTGAGGAGCAGCTGAGAGGACCTGTGCAGGCTGTGGTGCAGTGGCCGGAGGGCTCTTGTCTGCCTTGCACCCACAGCCAGGTTTGGCCACACCCTCGGGAATAAAATTACAAGGAGGAATGTTGTTTTTTGGGCTGTTAATTGTTTTCTTTCGTTATTGCTGGTGTTGAGGGCAAAGGGCACTCTGGTCTGTTACGTCCTTCCTTTCAAGTCAGTGTTATGCCAATGTCTAGATATAACCGCTGAAGAACTGTCATTAATGGTTTGTTGCTTATTTATTTGCTTTTTTTTTGTTACATTAAAGATCCCATTAATTGTGTCATCTTTTGTTATTATATTAATAGAGCTAAGTGCAATTACTGTAACTTCATTTAAAGGGAGAAAATGCTTCTCATAACATAATATGGTACAGTTATGTGGCACCACTAAATCTATTTAATCTTCATAGAAAATACCTTTTTCTCATACATTTTTGCTTGCTCTTCTAGTAAGTCAGTCTCTCTGAGCTGAGGTATAACTCACAGGAAGTTTTAGTAAAAATTTCTGTCATTTTGTAAGAATTCAGTTTCTTGTTTTCTTTTCAAGATTCATCATCTTGCTAATTGTGTGCTGAAATATACTACTACTGTACAGTATTAAAAGGGATGGATATAAGTGGTTTTGTGTTTAGAAGTGGTATGGCCTTTAATTTCTGATTTGGTTTGCTACATAGAAGGTAAGCTTGCTGTGAGATAATGGAAAGGAATCTTTAATTGCTGTAAAGGAGATCTGTACACATTTTCAGTACCCAAATTAACTCAATTACAGTTTCTGCTTTTGTAGAAATAGCATATTTATTTTAGAATACAGTGAGAATTAAATGGCAGTTGCTAATGCTTTTGGGTAGGTGCTGGTACAATATCATCAAAAAATACTGAGCATCGTGTTAAGGAAAATCCCCAAAGGTCCATTTTTTGTTTCTTTTCTGATTTAAATAGTGTACTAAATTCCAGTGGCATATAATCAAAATGTGCAACTATCTGACAGAGCAATAAAAATACCTCCCCAAAACACTGTTTTAGAGAAAATCAGAATAATCTGTAACAAAAATAATCTGAATTTCTGTCTCTAACCCTTCCCCAACCCAGCCACCACATTTCCTTGTTCCTAGGCAGGAAGCTACAGGTGCTGTTTTCACAAAACTTTGTTAAAACTATTTTAAATAAAAACACTTTTATTTTTCTTACTGTCATTCAACACAAAGTGAGTTTGTTGGCTCAATCAGCTTCCGACTGGGCAAATTTCCACAATGTTCTTTGAAGTCATTCATGGCTGATATCAGCCCTGAAGCCGTTCTTTCGGAGGCTTCCTGGAGCAGAACCCGAGCTCTCACTGGGATGCAGGCTGAACCAAGGCTGCCTCCAGAGCTGAGTCCATCAGGTTTGCATCTTCATGCTTCGCATGCAGCAGCCTGAGAAAAACACCGGTCCCATACATGAGACTTACTGTGCCCTCGCTGTCAGGAAAATAACGGAGTTTCTGTTGTGGTTTACTGGTACTTGATCAGCAGATGGGAAAGATATAGGACTCCTAAGTTGTCTTTACATCCAGATTTGGCCAGCTGTATCAAGTGAAAAGATTTCCTTGGTGGCTGGGAATATCTGTCAGATAGCACCTGTAGTATGCAGTGTTAAAATATTTCTCCTGAGAGGAGTTTTAGGTTTTGTTACAGTCGGTATCCTAGTGATGCAAGTCTAAATGCTATCGCCCATGATTTCCACATTTCTCATGATGAAGCATATGAAGGTAAGCAGACCAGCTGCTCATGTACTGCCAAAAGCTCGCTTCTGTATGTATGCCAAATACTGCATGTATACCTTGTGATTTAGATTGAGGTACCTGTATAATTTGTGCCTGCAGCTCTTAGTGTTTGCTTCTAAAAGCTGTATGCATTCAAAAAAAATAATTCAAAGTTAATTAGTCAAGATTTAAAGTAATTCAAGTGTGAAATATTTCTCTGGGGCCACAGATGTGAGGAAGTTACCAAAGTCAAGGGAAGGGGCAGATCAAATGTTAAGGTATGCAGCAGTTTGACCTGCATTGGAATAAACCTGTCTTTAGCAATGTTTAAAGCACACATTCTGTAATTGCTTGTGTTCCTTCAGTCATTGCTGGCTTGACCCTTTGAAAATCTCTCTCTCTGTTTCACTTCGCTTCTACATGAAGGGATGATAATATCCAATAATCAGTACTGAAGTATCAGCCAGTTGACCAGCGCTGCAGTTCTCCAGCAATGTGGCTTATGTTTGCATGTGGTACTACAAGGGGAAGTGTTCCGCCAAATCACCTTATGATTGTAAATAGCATGTGTGATTTTTGCAAACAATTTGTCTCTAAAGTGTAAAAGTTTTTGACAGGACATATTTCATTTCTTTGCAAAAATACAGTTTGGAAGTGGATGGTCCAATGCCTAAGGAAGAAAACTGTGGATATCAGTATCTGGACTGTGATACTAATTTTTTTTCTTGAACTTAGAGGCAAGCACTGTGTGTGGTTTGTTGCTTTTTTGTTGTGTCATGCAAGGGAAATCTTGTTTTGCTTTACATGGCAAACTTCACCTGGTTGTAATTAAACTTTGTCTCTGCTAAACAATTTGAGTTTTACTCAAAGGCACATGAGCAAGCAGGTTATAATCTGCAGAAATCATGTAAAAAAAGCTTCTCTCATGCCTTAGTCATTCTTCTGACTCTGTTTAACTTCAAAGGTAGCTTTGTATGTAGGCTGTGAAACACTTGGCCTGCTACCAGCTATAAGTACAAAACTCTGTTAGTACATTCACTTCATACTTTTGCCAAGATCCATCAAAACACTGGGATAACTTTCTGTACGGACTTGGTAACCTCTTTCAGGCATTTCCCTGGATGCTATCAGATGAGCATTACGAGATGTTATTACAATCAATCAAAGAGGTGCTTCACCACCTGTAACTCAACATTGAGGTCAGTGTCCTAGAATCGAAGCATCTAGGATATAGCAATACAGAAGTTAAATAAGGGCTATCCTAGATAGTGTCCTACTGAGTATTTTGTTACTATTGATTGTAAGGCCTTTGTTATTCAGTATAGGAGAGGAAGAGAGATGCTAATTACTGAATGAGTCGAACATTCAGAGTAGAAGTTTCTCAGAATTTGGTGAGAGAAGTGAAAAAGTGATTTTTCTGTTACCAACAGTGAATTATCCTTATTTCTGTGGCCAACTGGGAAGCAGAAAGCAGCCATATATGGGCTGAAATTCTCAAAAGAATGTGCAATAAATACATAGCTTGGAAGAAGGCTCTGCAGGGTCTCATGAGCACAGCACTTTGGGAGGGACAGGAGTCTATTTCCAGCTCAAGAAATAGTTATCACCACAGGGCTTGTTTATTTAGTGTGAAGAAAAGATGAAGAGGAGTGAGTCCTGAGTTCTTTAAATTATAAATTCTCTCTTTGTAAAATGGTGTAGCAGCAAAATTGTTGTCATGGATTAAAAGCATTAACTTTCTATTGGGAATTGGTGTTTGTTTTGGTAGGGTTGGTTCGGGGGAAGGAGGGTGGCTTTTCTGTTTTGCATTTGGACCCCCTTGTGCGTGCTGATGCAGGCGGACGGCGCGGTTGGCAGCATGATTTTGGCTAGTGGAGGTAGGCAGGAGTGGGTGCTATACTGCTGACTCCTTCCGAGAGCTGTTGAAACCCTGTCTGCCTTATGGCAGGTTGGTAGGCTCGGGGAGCAAGAACGTGGTGGCAGAAGCGTGGATGCTCGGAGCAACACCGTGGTGTGGAGCCAGCTCAGTTCATGAGTTACTGCCGGGCTTTGAGGTCAGCTGCAAAACTGCAGGTTTTGCTCCCTTCACCTGGCCATGGAAATCCAGGACTTTTGTGGGGTGGGATGTACAACCCTTGTGCTCTGAAAACTGAAAGTGTTAGTGGACAGAGTGGCTGTACTCCAGATGTGTTTTGCTTGCAACACCTGGAAGACAGCAACCTCAGTAGAGCAAGAGCAGTAGCCAGGCAGCTTAGGACATTGACTTTTGGAAGGTGTGCAGCTGTAGCCCAGCTGAGAGTTGCCCAGGGACTAGACTTGGAAATGCTATAAAATCTGGAAGAAGACCAGATTTTTCCAGTAGATGTTTTGTCAGGTCCTAGGGAAGTCTAAACGCAGGCTGGACACCAGTCCTGAACAACGCTGACCTCTTTGAGAAAGTTTCAGGCAAAGGGAGGGGAAATGAGGTCTCTCCTACTTGCCTGTCTTGCATACCATGTGTGGTCACCGTGAACAGCTCATCAACTTTCTTCAGCAAGGTCCCTCTGAGGACAGTCCAGGTTTCCCTTCCTGTCGCTTTGTAGAAACCATACCCAGAAAGCCAACAAATGATGAGGGGGTGTTGCCACTTCCATTGGTCTTGGAGAGGCTTAAACCAGCCCTGATGACTTTTTGTTGTAGTAGTTGTAATTGTAAAAGAATTATTCATATTTGCGTCATTACATCTGTTGTAATAATTGTGGAGAATAAGGACATCCAACAGGAAGTAAGAAAATTAATGTGCTTTCAAAACTTTCCCTGTACATTTTTTTTCTTTTTAAATTAAAGTTTTTAGACAAAAGTAGTCAAAGATGTTTCTGTAGGAATGTCTGTGTTAATGACTTTTAAAATTTATTTTTCAAATCTAGATCATTGACAAGGAGATTAATCCCTTTGTGGACAAGTGGGAAGAAGAAGGACAGTTCCCAGCACACAAAGTGTTTAAAACCCTGGGACAGGCTGGATTCCTTGGTGTGGATAAGCCAACAGGTAGGAGAGCGTATAACTCCTGAGTATTGATGTTGACGGTGATAGACTCATTACATTATCTCAAATCGCTTTTACCCCAGATCAAAACGTGGTTCAGAATTCAACGCAAAGTTTGCTTGTATTCCTCAGTCACAGGTGTGCTGGTTACCAACTGTAGAAATACAGAAAATCATGTTGCTGAGTTCTCAAGTTGATATTCTCCTAAATATTAATGTTAAAAGCCTGCGTGTCTGTTATTTGGAAGGCAGTGAAATGAACATCACTTCATTTTTTCAATATACAATCTATACAATGACTTTTCTTCTGGATCCAGACACACAGAGAATAATCTCAGTCTGCATTAAAGAAACCACAATTTGAAGGCATTGAAAGTGTTATAAGATTTGGCCTGTCATACTCCCTTAACCTGTAACCTCTACATCATTGTAATGTATTCTGTCTCACCATTCAGAGGATGAGGTTTGTGTGGGTTTTAGGCCACTATATCCTAGACTGTCTTTAATGTGCACTATTCCAGCCCCCAGGAAGCTGATGATATACACAGCAAGGACAGAGCTAGTTCCATGTCTGCATATATGTATTGGTGAGGAAAGAAGTCAAAAAGTCCACACGAATAGGAGATATTTCTGCTCTTCAGCTAAAATATATATTCCCCTAGGTTTTTTTGTTTGTATGTGATGTAATATATAGTTGTTTTCTTTTCAGATGCTGCTTTTATGTGTTCCTGTCAGAATATTTGGGGGTTTTCCCCTAATTTCCTCCAAAACATGCAGAGGTGACACTTCAGAACATGGTTTAGCAGGCATGGTGGTGTTGGGGTGACAGTTGGACTTGATGATCTTAGAGGTCTTTTCCAACCTATGATTCTATGATTCTATGATTTTCTTATTCAGCATTAAAAAGTTTAAAACAAAAGCAAGTTTGCATAGGCAAACCTTTGGCAATCATGGTGAATTCAGAGCAGCCTGAAGTGACAACATTTGGGCAGTTAACTGCAGATAATCGTCTCTATGGAGCAGCTCACACAACCTTAGCTATGCCACACAAAATCGTTATGTTGCTAAGGGGCAGGGTTTAAACTGTGGAACAAATTAGATTGTTTTACCACTTACTTTCAGAGGAAATGTTTCCTCTTGAAATCAACTTTCATGTTCTTATACATTCCAAAGTGGATGGTTTTTTTCTCTAGCTGTTCAGCTGTTGGAGCTCGCAGAACTGTTTAGCTGTGATTGTCTGACAAATCCAATTACGTCTGAGCTGGTGTTTTGTTACAAAACTGCTGACAGTTTGAGATTATAGTTAAAATCTGTTTAAAGGACAAATAGGATTACTGGGGGACGGAGAAAACCACCTCTACCTTCTGCTATAATTGCTTGATAGATAGATTTGAAATCTGTCACAGTGGGGTCTCCTTCACACTGCTAATATTCATGTTGGTTGTAATACTGGTGCGTTGCATTGCTGCCAGACTACAGCCTCATCTTATTGTTGTGTCCATCTTGGGACATGCAGAGGCCTTGGCTGGGGAAGGAACCTCAGTGCTGAGCATGCTGTGCAGAGAACGTTGTAGAGGTGGGAACCTTGTATAATGTCACAAAATATCTAGGACAAGAAATAACGGGAGTGAAATCTAGTGAAGAAGGGACTTGCGGAGGCAAAGATGGACACAGAAGACTGCATGCACTGACTACACTTGTTATACTCTTGATGAAGAATATTTTAGCCTTGGTTTTGACACTTGTATCTAGCTGTTAAACTAAGTTGTTGGGCCTCTGAACCTACATTTCATAAAAGCTATAAAAAATTGATAAAATTCTCAGCAGCACATAGTCTGTCTCAGTTCATTTTCTGGAGCAAGGTATTGTTGGCTAATGAAGGTGCACCAACACCCTGGAAGGTGCTGCCTTGACAGCAGTTGGTTGTGCAACGGAATGTCCCTAGATCCAGCTTTGCTCTGTAACAGTATAGTACCACCAGGCACATCCTCAAAGTTCCGAAACTTTCTCATGATGGTAAGTGAAACAGTCAGGTGTGTAACAGTGCAGTCTCAACAGCACAGACTTTGGAAAAGCCTGAAATTCTTCATCCTTCTACAAAGTGCTTGTGCTTGCTGTGATTGTGTTTAGTGTGTACCGGCAGTAGTAATAATTAAAAAAAAATATTTAAGAGATATACCTTTTATACTCTGCTCAGCCACTTCTGTGACTTAACTGCTGTGTGCAGAGGAAGAGAGATCTGAAGAGGTTTAAGGAAGCTGAGAGCAGCCAGGAGTTTTGGAGGGATGCTGGGGGCGGTCTGGAGAAGAGAGGTTAAAGTGATTTGCGGAGAACAATTGCGACACAGAGCCGTGTGAATAAGAACTGCCCTACTTTCTCTTTCCAGCACAAACCAAAATTATAATTATCATGTTATATCCCTTCAAACCCAGATCAGAAAGCATTCTCTTTAAAGAAGACTAAATTCTTCAAATGAATTCACTTCAGCAGCAACTGCAATTGGAAATACACTTTTTTCTGAATTTGTTTTCCAAGGTCATGCTGTTGAGTACAGTTTTTTTCCTGTAGAATTAATTTTGAAGCTTTCTGATTGGGCAGAAATGGGTCACAAACTTGTTTTGCTTAGATAGAAGGAAACATCTGTTAGATCTCAGATTTGTTGAAACTGGACTTTTTCCTGTGTAAACACCATTCCCTTTATGAACAATGAGCTGCTTAACGGGACTCAGGTTTTTAAAAGAACGAGCCCTACATGTGTCCCTTATCATTGGAAACTTTCTCTGTGTGGAGGACTGATTTGGGGCACTATTTTTATTGCAAATGTTCCATCAATTCCCACCATATGCAGTTGTGGGCTACAAACTTGTTGAGGTTTTTCCTGTATATTTTTTCATAGTTGTTTATGCTTGTAGTGAGTATTGGCTGTAGTACAGTAGTTCAGGATGTTAGATGGAGTGGTCACGTGAACACTGTGAGCAAGGCCAAGCCATGCACCCATAATTGGAGAATCTTTAAGATGATCCATGGATTTAACTTACTACACTGTCTGGTCAGTCCTCTGCCAGAGAAATATTCTTGTCTTTGAGCTGTTTCTCTGCTCTGGTATTCTTTACACAACTCAAAAGTAACGCATATGCTGTTTTTCCTTGGGGAAAAAGTGTGTGTTATTCTATTAACAAATTCTTCCTATTAGTAAAATACATACTGAAAAAGTGAACAATATTTATGGATGAAAAGTATCTTTTTGCTTTATACAAAACGTGTTTTACAGAATCACTCAATTCAGCCTGAAGTATTTTGTTGGAGGGGAAATAAAACTCAACATCTCTGTATACTTATTATTCTTCATTTGTGTTTACTGTGTGTTTCTCCTCAAATTGTAAAGTTTCTGGGCTATTGAGGTACTGACAGTCCCAAAGGGCAAAAGGGCAAAAAATATTAGGGTAGGCAGCAAAAACATTTTAAACAGCCTTGGTAGTTGGCCATTGTCTGTTTTGCTAAGGGAAGAGGCAAGACGTATTCTTTGGAGTGTTTTATGTGCAAATTAGACAAGGTATTGGAGTAAAAGCTGAAAAGATCTATGCACTCGTTAGTGATTTTATGGTTTACGAATCAAAGCCTTGGCTGTTGCTAAATTTTAGAACGTGTGCCAGACACAAACTCAAAACGTACTGTTATGTGCCTGCGTATGCCGATGCAGATGATTAAAAGTTGTTTTTATCAGCTGATGCATAAGTACAGGAATCCTGTAAAGGCTCGGGAAAAGCAAATAGAAGGAGAGAGAAGGGTTTGCGAGAGGACAGTATCTGCTGTCCTGCATATTCACATAGCATCACTGTGAGACATGAGTGGCAATGATGCCCACTCTGGGTATTTCACTAGTGTTTTCACTGGCAGTACTGTAGGAATATTTAGCAGAATGCATTTGCATGTACAAATAGCTATGACAGTGTGTCCAAATAGTAGCCTTCATTTACTCCTGTCAAACACTTAGGAATGCACTTGAAGATACATGTTCCTAAATGTATCAGGAAAATCAGGAAACTATGTGGTAAGACTTGCACATGGATGGGAAAGCATAGTTTTACATGGTCTCCTTCCCCTGCTGCTGGGATATATGCTGGGTACAGGACTGGAGAAAGTAATAAGCAGTACGTTCTTGTCACATGAGACAGATAAGCGTCTGATGAAACAAAACAAACGTTTCAAATGATGGATTGCACTGCAGTTGGAAAATGATGCAATACCTTTCCTTGAGAAAGCCTGTTTATTGCAAGTGTCTGTGCTGAATGTGGGAATATAGATCTAGACCATCCTGTAACATTACTTTTGTTGTTTTCTTCACAAGTATAGATTTCTCTGGTAAGATGAGACGTTATGAGAGTTTGGTAGTGGAGAGTCACTTGGAAAGGGGGTGTGTGGTTCTTTCTCTTTCTTTTTTTCTTTTTCCCTTTCTGTAATACTGAGCCTTACTATTACATGGAATGAGCAAAATAAGGATCTGGAAGGAGCAGTGAATTCTGTCACTAGAAAAGGACTTAGTCTTTCAGGTGAAACAGTGTTCTTATGGCCTCTAAGGGAGTAATAAAACCAAACTTTTTTAGGTGTGTCTGTGGATATAAGCTAAAAGGGATATATTTGTCAGAAGAGAATTCATTTGTCCAAAACAATTTCTATATGGCAGGAGTGAACCAGCTGCAATGCTTGTGCTTGGTTTAGTAGATTCAAGCATAGCCAGCTGAACTAATTGCTTGATCTCTTTCTCACTTAGAAAGGAGTGCAATAGTAGTTAATTAGTAATAGTTGTGCCCTAGAAGTTTGAGAGAGAAGCCCTTGTGCCATTTTTTCAGATACCAATGAACTGGTAAATCAGCACTCTGAAACATTTACCAGCTTTGAGATATACCTGGTTAGCAATCAAGAAACAATTTTGCTAAGCCTGTAAAAAACAATAGACCGAAATCAGTGACTGTTTTATTTGAACCAAATTGATGACAAAGTTAG